CACATCAAGATGTGTTTTCTATTTAGAACTTGTAGATTATCCCATGAGATATTATAGGCTTTAACGACCTTCTAGGTACCTAGGTATAGATCAAGAGTATGTAGGTATCACCATATGCATGACTAACAAGACCAATATATCATCCATGCGGCTTCCCCTCACGCGATCATGCTGGCCGAAGCTTGGCCAACACAGACACTTTCACAATTTCGGAAGAGATGGATATACTTTACTGTAATCACAGTGATTTAATGAATTGATCGTCTGTTTAGGTGTTCATCTTATAGATAGCTCAAGCAACCAGCAACCGAAACAAGCAAGTTATCGTCATTCATTAACGTCTACAAAACCACATTGATGGCACTGATTCAAGCAGAATTGGCTTTGAATAATTGCCAAGCTTGCAGTGACAGTAGTGTGAGCACCTAGAGGCTTGGGAGCCAAAACGCTGTGTTTCCAGTGGTTGGAAGTTGCCGTTCCCCTCTGTTGTCGCTTGCCAGCGGGCGCGCGGGAACTTTTTCGGGTGGGCTCCACCCCGATACGGGACCCGACGGCACCCATCATGGCTAGGATGTGATGGATTTGAAGACTGCTCCTGTTTCTCCCTCCATCATCAATTTGCCCTGAACTTGGATTTAACTCTTTTCAACTCAGCCCGCGGAGAACCCCTACCGAAAACGAACCGCAATACAAATACGAGACGAGTGTAGTGCAGGAGAATTGCGACCGGCCCATGCGATCCAGAACCGACATGTTGGCTTCCACCTAAACGTCAACTGGCGATGACTTCAGTCGTATCAGCCTTGCCCCTACGCACGCGAAATCGACGACTACACACGATACTTTACGCATAAGTCTCATCTGCGGTCTCGCCATCACCCACAACCGGCGTTATTCCACACCTCTCTTACCCTCGACACCACCGCTATACAACCACAATCATGAGATTCTCGACAATAATTAGCACTGGCAGGATGGCACTCTCCATCTCCATCCTAGCCTGCACTCTTACAGGTGTCCTTGCCGATGACACTGAAGTCTCTACGTGGGCCGAAACTGAAATCCCTGAATGGGCCACAATCAGCGGCATGCAACTCTCGTTGTCAGCGAACCCTGGGCTGCAGTTTGCTGTAATCCCTCTTACATCGAATCTGGGACTCAACGATTCCACAGGTCGAGTAATAGATGTATGTCTTTGCTCTGCACTGTTTTCTTGTTAATGCTAATAAATTTTCGAAAGATTATTCATATCACGGGTAATATGATCGCGACAGACTCTTCAAATTACAACAAAGTGACTGACAAAGACGATATCGCCTATCTGTCATGCGACGAACCCAAAGGCGACTCTTTTCTCAGCCCCAACAAGATGCTGAACACATTGATGCAGCTTGAACCTCATATCAGGGCGATAGTCCTGTATTCTACGTCCAACACATGGTGTGCCATCGACCCAGTCGACAAACTTCCGTTTACGAGCATCTTGTCCATGGCCGATGGAGGTGAGGCTACACAAGCCCTCAATCTTTTGAACGGTACCAGCCGTGGTGAAGTTGTCAAAGCGAGCATCTTCGGTAATAACACGGATAATACGCTGCCAAAGGATGAGAGCAAAGGGGGTAGCAACACGGCTGCCATGAGTGTTTTGTACGCCATCACTGGCCTGATTACTCTGCTATTCTTGGTGATCATCACGACAGGCGCTGTGAGAGCCCATAGATACCCTGAAAGATACGGGCCACGAGGTGCACTTGGCGGGCGGCCACGACAGAGCCGGGCCAAGGGACTTGCTCGGGCTGTTCTAGACACGATCCCAATTGTCAAGTTTGGAAACCAGACACCTACAAAGCCAGACCCCGAATTGGAATTGGAGAATACGGAAGGCAACGATACTGTCACACAGCGAACTGCGTCACGCCTCAGCGAGGCCAGACCGTCTGACGGGGCTCCGGCACCAGGTGGGGTGACAAATGCCGTACCAGCCGCGACTAGGGCATCACCTTCTCCCGAGAGTGCCGAAGACGAGACGAGCGACCACTTAGGATGCTCTATCTGCACCGAAGACTTTACGGTTGGTGAAGACGTTAGAGTGTTGCCCTGCAAGCATCAGTACCATCCGGCATGTGTTGATCCATGGCTGATTAACGTATCTGGCACGTGTCCACTGTGGTGAGTTACTACCTTGTCAAAGATCCAATTCTTATGCATACTGACACGTTATTAGTCGCTATGATTTACGACCAGGCAAGGGTCATGCATCTTTGGAGGCGGATGTTGGCGACTCTAGCACGCTGCCGCCACCTTTGGCAATGGAGGGTGCTGAGAACGACGCGCCTCAGTCATCTCACCGTAACCGACTCTCGAGACTTTTTGATATTAACCGCCTTCGAGAGGGGACCGTGGAAGAACAAATGGAAGCATTACGGCAGATGCGGGCGGAAACCAATGAAAACAACAACCGAGAGACAACAGAAGTTACTGAAGCTGCCGATGGCGAGTCGCAGGGCCAAAGTGCACGATTTGCGGCGAGGCTTCGGGATAGATTTAGGATCCGCACACGCGCTCAAGCCGTCGAAGATCATGAAAGTCAACGAGGGAGCTAGTGAGTAGCACGGAGGTGCCGGGGTGTTGATGTTACCGGCGATATGAATTTAGGGCTGAGAAATGGGGATCGAAGGGCTTCACGTTTTGATATAATCAGGGGCAGAAGGGTCCCTTGCATGCATTTGTGAGCCGGTTTGAATGAGAAGAATGTTCGGGATCGGCGTTGAGGCTGAGGAATGATAACTTGGGTTTCAATTTGGACACATGGGAAGCATGGCAAGGCGTTTCTTTGGACGATCGCACATAAGCGCGCTCACGACGATCGTGGTTGATGATCACTTTCGGCTTATTAGAGAGCGCAGATACTTACCTTACATATGATACCTTTGATGATTTATACACGCTTATACGAAACCAAGGCCTCATACAGCAGGGGTCTTTTTTGAAAAGGCTTGATGTCAGTATATAGTAGTGGACCTTTCGTAATCCAGCAGTGAATCGACAGCCCTTCGTTATTCACTCAAGCTTGCATGCAACACCGTTCGTTGAAGATACTTGCAACCAAGCGCCCAGTGTCGGTATCGTGCCTCATAACAGGATCTGATTCAGCCAGTCTAGAATCCGAACCAAGAGCTTAGTGACCTGGCACCACAGATGAAGGGTAAAAATCGCAGATTCAGCGGGAGAAAGCAATTCGAAAGTCTCTTCGGTTTTTTCCATCGGCAGATCATCAGGACTGTTGGAACACATAAATATGCTAAGTTCAGCCATACTAGACTCTGGCTTTTCGGGGGCACAATTGCCGGCGCAGCTTGAGGTCCGGGCAATTACAAAGAACTTGGTTGCTCAAATATCGTCACCGTAGTGAAAATGGATCTCGGGCAATGTATCAGGTTCCTGGTCCTCGCAATGCAAGTGTCAACTGGAAATGAGATAATGACGCTGGCGTGGGAAGTGTTAGTTGAGCATTTTTAATATCCGTGTGTCAGATAGAACTTAGAATGACACTTGCTCCTCCCATAATAAGCAACACGCGGGAGTCGTTGAATTGCATGAATGCAAACTTTCCTAGGCTTCATTGGCAGCTTACAGCCAGCACGTTGGTAGTGGCTAAGTGATTGGCGCATCAGGCCTGTGCAACGTACGCCGTATGTGATCTCAGAACCGATATATACCGGGAATATGCTGGTGAGACGTGAGCTTACTAATCATCATCCCGGGCCACATCCAGACCAACGGTAATGCAGCAGCAGATGATAATCTTCAGCGCAAATCGTTGTCTTGAATTTCTGGCAGCCTATGATAAATAAGGTTTGAGCTATCGACACTAGAGAGCAGAAGTGTCGAGATTGACCAATACGACAATGCTACTCAGCCCAGATCACCTTAAGTGGACTCACAGCCTTGACTGATCAATGAGGGCTGAAGAACATTTGAGGCTCAAGATCGGAGATGCTATTCTGCGAGCTATGCTCAAACTACAAAACTCCGTCTGAATTGTTCCTTCGGGGAAGATATCTCGAGCCATATGCCACCAGGATGCCGGAAACTTGTTTTGCCAAGCGGGATGGCACTACTGAACCGTGACTTTGGGAAAACCTACCCGCCACAAGGCCGCCTTTGGATCTCCAATTCCTGCCGAGTCAGGTGAGCCACATACGCGTGGAATTTCCCGATTTACTGTCCGTCGGCCAATCTCGAGTCGAGACACAGTCCGCATTGTGTTAGAGTGTTTCGTAACGGGACCTCGTCAGGGGCATTAGCGCGAAGGATCTTGATTGATCCCGGGGGTGGATAGATCGGATCTAGCCGGGTCTAAATACTAACAATAGAGCAAGAAGACGAGAGGATTTGAATAAGGAGAAGGGGGGTTTTCTTCCTTCAATCATAGGGGGAAGAATATGATGTTTCGGGAAGCTGAACGATTTGTTCAAGCTGAGAAGGCTTTCCCATGAACGGGTATGGGAGGTTCCCCTTCCCCAGTCTCTACTTGCCTCCTACCTGACCCATTAAACTCAAGATTCAGAAGAACTCTCTACGTTCGAGACGGGAAACAACTTCCCAACTTACCATAGTACCCGCCTGCCCTAGTACCTACCTTACTTAATAAGGATTGGATAGCAACTCCCCTTTCGTCTAGCTGGCTCAGGGAGAGACATTATCTGAGCACTTCGCAGCTTCAAATTTCCTCAAGCCTCGAAAGAATACCGTCACAGCCAACACAAGCCACGATCTATCGACACCACTGCACGGGGCACTCTTCCGTTGCTCCGGTATCGATGCTACTGTCAGTGCGCACTCAATAGTGCACAACGTCCAGCCATACCACGGGTTTGAGCATATCCATGTCGAGAATGGCTTACACCACCCGATGAACGATCGAAGTTAGGGTGTGGTCGATCTGTTTATTCCTATTTGTCGCCTCCCATCGAACTCCCGACCGAAATGGGTCGGCTTCATCTCAAGTCCCCTTTCCTTTTTACCATAGCCACAGCCGTATCGATCGAACGCCATGCCGCAAGAGGCGGGTTAGAGTAATCATCAGTAGCTCTCCCTGGCATTGCTATAATGGAAGAGCAACAATATCGGCCAACGCAGTTTGCCCCGAAACCGGACATTCCTAAGTCTTGATATGATCACCAATCATCAAGAATTGGGATGACTTCTGGAAAATCGATCGAACGAATGCTTTACGAGTCAACCTTTTGTGACTCGAAATTAACGACATTCTATCATCATTCAAATAGCCTTGACCAATGCAGTGATTTTCTCTTACCTGCATCCGGAACCAAGTCTCGCATGGGTGACAATGGGTGACACACCGCACTCGCGAGCCACATCAAACACTTAAACCGCGGCCGGGACATCGCCAAGGATTCAGCCAGGTATTCGGATTTTCCGTGGCTATCCCAGATTATATTACAGTGCCCACAAAGAGCCACCACCTATCGTACTCTTATCCACCTCCGTCAGTGGCCCATCAAGTAACGACTATTCCGCTCTAACCTTATTTCAATATTCATCTCCAATCGTCGGTCCCTTTACACTAAATTTCTTGGTAAACAAACTACCTACTGATCTCTTTGTTGGTCCCCGAATCATCGTGTCTGGCTCAACAGATGTGCCACTTAGTATCCCGGTATCATTCGTACCTGCGGCCAGCCAAAGCGTTTCTGCGTGGTGCCTGAACTTATTCCGCTTCTGGCTCGTCTCGGGGCTTATTTCATTCACGGGCCCATGAGCAGCTTCCAAGACATTAGTTGGGTTGAGCTAAAGACACCTAGCTTCCAGGCTACTGGATAGGTTGCGGCAGAAGAACTAGAGATCTGAGGCTTCGGCACAGTCAGTAAAGCGTCTGGGCTTGATCTTTTTACTCTATAGCCACAAATTATGCTTTGACTTTATACCTGTCTGGGGGATTGCCCTTTCCCCCCCTCCTCCTCCTCCCCCTTAACTATCACCGTACGCAACCCTCTGATCAAAGCTTGAAATTTATTTTCGTCTTTCTATCGAAGATCTGCCTATTATCACCCCCTAGGGACAGTAACAAGAACTCTGCTTCATGCTTGGATGTTCTCTCGGATCCCATTGCGACACGAGCGTTCTCAAACACCATCTGATATGGCTCCCAAGACTTTTCTCGAGCCTCGCGAGGCATATCTACCGAAACCTGTTCCTATAGGAGGAGATATCATGTCGGTTATGGTCTCCCTCGCTGCTTGTTCAATATTAGCTGTCTTTCTTTGTAAGTATTTGCAGATTCTTCTAATATTAACACTAAAAACTGACACGCATTATGGAATAGTCCAGAGAATTACTGCCGTTAGATCCTGGTCCAGGTTACCATTTGTTGCTTGGCGTAAGTCTCTTGAACTGATGCGAGGATACGGTTCAATTTTTTAGCTAAACGTATTATATAGTCGTTCTAGTCATCTACGTCGACTCCTATGGTTTTGTTTTCACCTCTGCAATCCTCCAACAGGTCTTCGGTGTCAACAGCAGCTTTAACATTTGCCATGGCGCTATTTTGCTTTGCCTAATATGCTATGTCACAACCAAGATTGTGGGCTCTCCTGTCGACTGTGCTGTGGAAGGGTTGGCTAATGCGACAATAGCTTATATACGTCTTTCTTGTCGAGAAAGCTGTAAGTTCCATATGTTTTTTGAGCATCGGAGTGAAATTTCTAATAGTATCTAGCATGTTATTCGAAGCTCTACTACACGAAGAAGAAATTCGAAACTTTACTTGTTCAATATGATCACACTTCTTGGTGGCTATGGAGTGGTTGTCGTCCTCAACTTTATCTAGTAGGTCCTCCTAGCATTGACTTTCGTTTACCAACGGCTTTCTAACGGTACTAGTCGCATTGCCAGAATTGTAAACGGAGAGTGCTTCATCGGCATGAAGAGCATCTCTATGATTCCTCTTATCGCTTTCGATGCCGTCGTCAATATCTACCTGACCATTCTTTTTCTAATCCCTCTTAAAAGTCAGCTGACATTCAGTAGTTTCACGTGCATATGCTAATGAGTTGTCAGATCTCTACTCATTCAAGAATCTTCCAAAGACCCATGCGAACTCCCGTCTTCGCAGTGTGGCCTTCCGTACTTTCGTCGGTGCTTGCTGTACCTTGACAAGCAGCATAGTGTAAGTTCATTGATGCCTAGCGTTTGGAATACCCCTAAGATTGGCTAGAAACTTGACTGTGTTAATGGTTCTTAATGGGGAGCCGGGTTGGGTGTGTTTAATGTGTTGCAACAGTGACGGTATGTACCTCAAACAAGGCGTCTGGAATATAACTGACCATATGGAGTCCTCTTTTCGGCTATTGTCGTTCAATGGGTCACTTCTCGCGATAGTGCTGGTTCTTCCAGTCAACCAGCTTCGGCTGCTGTTACGGATGGCAGCTACATTGGCAGACGTGCCTCGTCGGCTCACCCAAGAAGTCTGCATGCTTCGAACGTTCCCAACGTTCCTCGCGACGTGGACGACGAGACTTCTCTTGTCGGACATGCTACTGTCACCTCTTTGACAGATGACCCTGGTTTCGAGATGACCAAAGTTCATTCAGGGGCTACAAGTGGTGTTATAGTTACGACGACAATTCACCGTGAGAGCCGGCCTACGACCGAACGCAAGGAGAGCAGCGACGATGACGACGATATCGGGATCGAATCAGACCGAGACTTTCAAGTGCGATCGGTGGCTTTTGCTCCAGGCCACACAGAAGCCGCAGAGCCACCTCGAACGCGAATACAAGGAGGCTCCAGGCCGCATCATCATTCCAAGACACCTTCGTTCTCACGTCCGTTGAACAAGTAGAATTTACATTACAAGGCTGTTTTAGAAGAGAATTGCTTAGAACAGTGGGTCAGGAAAATCGGCGTTTTCAGGATAAAGGTTCTTTGGAGAAAAAGAAGAGTGTTCTAGGCGCGTTTGAAAAGATCGGAGTTGATATGGAAGGGGGCGGCAATACCCAATATTTAGTTTTAATCATCGCCCAGAGTTGCAGAAACCCATGCAGCTAATGATATTCTTAATACCTCACGACTTGAGAAGAGTATCTATCCTCTAAGACAAGTTGATATGACGCTTATTAAACTTGACAAAGACGTTACCCACTCATCGATGGAATGGACGGATGACACAATAGTGTCAGGTGTTGATCTCCCGCATTCATCCACATGGCGCAACATTCCTCAGCCTACAACACAATTCAATCAAGACATTGGCATAGCCACGGTCTAGGACGAAGGCAAGGGTTCAAGGTCCCAAATCGAGGCTGACGAGACAGCTTGACGTAGTCGTGCAAGTCGTCACCCATTCAAGCAGTAGATATGTTCTTTCACAGGGTGGCACAGGAGTTGGAGCAGCGAAATCGCTGTTCATTGTCATCGTAGCTCGTAGATGTATCTACACGCTGAAAGAAGTCTATCAAACTGCTAAGATCAGGAATTGTTCTATTTGCAAAGTCCTCCCTTTTTGTAATATCCCGGAATTGATGATAAGAAAAAAGGTAAGGAGGTTGACCGCGCGATATAAACTTGGAACTGTAAGCCAGATCCTGGTCACCTAAATGCATAATATGTACATAAGTCAACAGGCGCCATCCTTGAACCGAATATGTTAATCCTCCCTCCCGAAAGCCAATTTTGAATGGTTGGGTATTTCCCTAGCGAGTGTACAAGAAGTGATAAAACGAACTGAGTGGCCATCTGCCATGAGCCTTGATGAGCTTAAGCGGAGGCATAAACGCTGCCGTAGGAGCTGAGCTCGGTCTCGCTGGTCATGAGCATGCCAGTCTCGACCTTGAAGTAGGAGTAGGCATCAAGGTAAGAAAGGTCCTCAAGCTGGGGGATGGCATCCTTGAGCCAGGTGGCAATGGCCTCATCAGAACCAGTAGGAGCAAACTCGGTGAGCCAGATGGGCTTTCCGCCGCAAGCCTCGTGGGAAGCCTTGAGGTGGTCGAAGAGAGTGCTACCGTACTCAACCTCGGAGTACCAGTGGACGTTGCAGAAATCATAGTGGCACTGCTCGTCGAGCTTCTCACACTCGGAGACCCAGCTCTTGAGCCACTCGACACCCTCCCCGGCAAGACCACTGTTGCTAATGGAAGGGGCACCGATGAGGGCCTTTCCAGCATAGGGGTTGAGCCACTTGACATGGGCCTGGGCAGCGTAGGCAGGAGTCATGTCAGCCTGGCCAGCGTTGTCAGGCTCGTTGAAGCTGAAAATAGCCTTGGCGCCATCACTCAGGGCCTGGGCACAGTTGTCGGCAAAGCGGTCAGTGTGGAGAGGCTGGTCGTTCCAGAGGGTAGGGATGAAGTTGAGACCCTTAAGACCGCCGGAAGAGGAGTCCCAGTTGTAACCCCAGCCGCAGTTCTCGCAGTCACCGGCGAAAGTGTTGGCAAGGTCAACGTTGTTGTAGCAGACACCGCGCTTGTGGGAGAAGCCAGGGGAGCCACCGGAAGAGGTGCCGCTAGACTTGGACTGGGTGCTGCTAGACTTGGCCTTGGACTGAGTCTTCTCCTTGATGGCAGCCTTCTGAGGAGCCTTGGCGGCGGTCTCCTCCTTCTTGGGCTGGGAAGCGGGCTTATAGGCGGACTTGGCAGCTTGAGAGGGCTTGGCGACCTTGATAATGGTGGTAGGCTGAGCGGCAACGGGAGCGGGAGCAGAAGGTGCCTCGGGTTGAGAAGCGGCGGCGGGCTGGGTAGCAGCAGGTGCAGAACCGCCGGGGCCGAAGTAGTTGTTCTCCCAAGAGACGACCTGACCGTCAATGGTAGCAACGACCCAGTCACCACGCTTCTGGGCGTGCTGGTGGTGAGCGTGGCGGTGGCCGAGAGCAAGAGCCGGCTCAAGAAGAGCGGCGGTAGCGGTAAGGATGGTGAGCTTGTTGGCGATCATCTTGACTGATGTGACTGGTATTCCTAATCAAGGCGATTTGGGTAGGGACCGATGGAACTGTGTTTTCCGAGACGGTAGTCGACTTATGTAATGAATGTGAAGTTGTACTTGATATTCGGGTTGATCACAGTCGGGATGACAAGGTGAAAGCAACGACGAAAGATCGGGGCTGAGACGATAGTTGTAGTTATGTGATCGGCACGGCCGAGTAGGGAGTGTGTATGCGATCTATCAAAGACGCAGATAAAGAAGGGCGACGACTAGTCGAGACGAGGGTTGAAAACACGGGCTGATATTGACGAGATGAAGGAGAGAGGGGGGAGAGAAGTTCGAAACCATGGGGGATATAGAGGGTTTAAGAGCAAGGGCAGGCAATGGCAACGGAAGTGGTGTGGTTTGGGCATGATCCAGAAGGACAGTACAAGTGATGAGGTGGACTGGAATGTATCTTTTACCTGCTGGTGATTGCTGGAGATACCCGTGTCTTCACCTGACACCTGGTATCTTTGTTTCTAAGACTGGAAAGACTGGGAAGAAAGACCCCCGCCTGGGCCATCGAGAGCCTCCACTTGCAGGGGCCGTTTTGGGGCGCTTTCGGTAGACTCAGGTGAAATGCTTGGAGGCATTCTGCAATTCCATTGGCCGATGCTCCTGTTCCTGGCGCCGTGCTAGAGTGGATCTCTGGCCGGGTGCGCCATCCCTGGCAAAAAGCGGGTAGCATGTCAGGGGCAGCCGCTTCAGGTAGCATCAAAGCAGTTTCCGATTGGACAAGCTGACCTCCCTCTTGGAACCTAGACGACAGGTCAGCGACAGCGACAGTGGGCAAGGAAAACATGGGTTAACGTGGCAGTGGATGCGCAACCACTCACACAGAGGCAAACACACGCTGTGCCTGAACTGAAACCACTATACATGCGCTATTTCATCCGGCTTTGGTCTACTGCAGGTCCCTTCTGCAGGAACACACACACACACGCAAAGAGGAAACAAAAGACCGCAAACGGCCCAATCGTGTTAGTGGCCCTCAAAGGAATGATTCACGCACTGGGGCCTTTGTTACCTTTGCTGCAATGCCAGCACTCTTTCACCCCAATTCCTGACTCGACGATCCCACAACCAAGCTTCTGATTTCCACCATGGTATTAAAAACTAAACGGTCCCGAGAGATTAAGCCAAGCCAAGACAGCAGAACTCTAGAAGAACGCGACCGAGTTTGCTGCCGGCACTTGGCCTTCGAGAACCCTCAACGCCCACTTCCCAGCTATTAACGTAATCGCACAAGGCCGTCGTAAACGTTGGCCCTAACTCCGTTGAGCTGATCCTACCCAGGATGCCCTGTAGGCTGTAGCTGATGCGATGCCTACCCTGGTGCCAAGCCCAGCCAACTTGATGAATGCAAGGCCAGAGGTTAACGACCACCAACTTCTGCATCACCGTCATCATCTGGCTTCTCGTCATTCCAAATGCTCTCACACCAGAGGCGCATGATACGCATCATATGACGCTCATCACGACAACTAGCAACGACAACGCACACACAACTAAAGCACTCAAGAACAAGGCGCACAAACGCTGCCACCGACAAAAATTCTAAATGTCTTGGCTTTTTGGTGCATCCCAGCCTCTTGGGACAAACCTGAACCCATTGCTAAAGGGCCACGTCGGCTGCTAAACCCAATTCTCACTTAGCATCCGCCGTGTGAAACACCGTCCGAAATTACATCCGCAGCCACGGTAGGTGGGCTCCACGCGTACAACCATGATATCCCTTGTCAATATCTGAGCAACCTGTTAGCCGGGATTCCGGATCGGATCCTCATCGCAGCCCACAACGAATGGACGCTGCAAACGGATGGAGAAAAGACATTATTGAGCCATTTTTGGCATTAGAAAAGCTTGGTTCTCGATTCTCCTAGTATGGCAGGGTTGTCACTCATATCCACCGGAGACATTCACAACTTGGATCAAGAGAAAGAAGAAGGAAAAAACTCAATGCCGCATTTTGATGCCCTGACTCAGATCTTCGTAACATGTGCTGTTTTTTTTTTTTTGTTTTTTTTTTGGACGTCTCTACCATCACTTTGCATGATGAGGGTTGCATTTTCTGCACCTAGCCATGACCAAGCACCAAGAAACACACTCAACAATCTTTGCTTTGTACAAGCTAAATGTCACGGACTCTGTTTCCTCGGCTTGGCACCTAAACTATTGTCATGTGGCGGTCAAGCTGACGTGTTACACTCAATGCCCTCTGAGGCTGTTTCTTTGTGCAACCTTTCTTCATGTAGTATCCCCAATAAGTGCTTGGGGCTCTGGTTGATGGACTCCCCTGATCAGTGTCGTTTACTCATAGTTATCACGGTGCCGAGTAAACAAAACAAGCAGTCTCTCAAAGCGACGAGCTGCTGCCTGTATGGAAAATCCTGATTCAGCCCATAACTTATGGACCTATGGGGCGCTCATCTTATCTCACAAGATCGCTTCGGGGGACCCTGGAGTTCTTTGAGCTTCTAATAGGTTTTGAGCATGGCTCTTGCTCTCCACTGTCCATGAGCTGTTGACTCTGGGTTGATGATTCGATACCGCAACACGGCTCAAACTATCCAATTTCAGAGTACGATGCATTGGGCGGGACGATAATATAATGTTGTTGTGGTATACGAACGCTTGGGGACATGACCCACCTTCGACGGGATGTGGATGTTTTTGATCAAGGCGTACGGATACCGTTGATCAACATAGTAATAGTGAGCGCAGCAGGTTATTCAGGACCTGAGGCCTCCACAGAAGGGACCGTGAACAATATTTCAGGTGAGATAGATATGATACCGTGGTGGCATTGGTTCATACAAAATATGGTGATAAATTTCATATCTCATATGTGGTACAGGGTAGGATTGTTTTGTTTACATATAAGCCCCTGGCTGCATTATCACATGCAGGCCTCAACAAACTGCAGGCTCTGTTGATGATGAATTTATTACACTTTACCAATGCGAGATGCATTATGTACCCCTTTCTATCGGATTTGAATACATTACAAACAGGCGTGCTTGTTGGAATATCGTTTGAGGTGCGTGTGTTGTCCGTCTCGTAATAGGTTGTGAGCAACCAAAATCCGAGCCTTGAACAGGTGAGCTTCAGAAACCGCAACAAACGAAACAAGCCATCGTTTTTAAAATAGATCCTGTAACATGGCTCCAGAGTTCAGGTGAGCTAATAACATGATCGGCGCTAGGATACCTGCGAATCGCGATATTTGCAGAAGCGCCCGACGATGGGAAATGAGGTGAAGGACTAGACGACGATCGCAGGCGCGCGCTTGTTATTCCCGTGATTTGGCTAGTAATTACACAACGACGGAGCAGAGTGCAACACCAAAAGTGCCATCTCCAACCAGACATTTTCCGGAGCTTGCTGTTGAAATATGGTTCGTTGTCACATTAAGATTCTGGGGTAAAGTCAAACGCCAACAATGAGCATTGTAACGGACATCAAACTGGGCTGGGGCCCCGCTATAAGGTAACGGAGAATCTGCAACCCGTTGAGAGCTTATCGAGTAAGATCGGGCCTGTGGCGAAAATCATCATTGCCCTGTTGGTCAGGTAATCAATCAGTGGAGGTCAACACAGCCTCTTCCATGAGGGTAATAGGGATTCAAAATTCATATAAAGCCACGATATAGTCGCAACGGATGACTATCAATAGGAAAAAAAACTGCCTAGCAACACCGAAACCCAAATTGGGATGATAGTGCGAGAAGCGGCGGAATGATGACCCGTCATCCCGCCCTGTTAGTTAGGGATAAACTGCCACCACAGCGAATGATAGAACAACATGTTCAGCTAGTTGTGGCAGTACTCAAGCCACTTGGTAGGATCGTCCACTACCAGCTTCAACACGTGATATTGTAAGACGCTGATTCGCTCATGCTGGGTTGCGGAAGGTGCCTATCCTGCTCTTGAAGCCTCGTGAGTTCTTTGGCATGTTTATAAAACTTCAACCTTCTAAACACGAAGCATATATTCTACACGACGATTTAGATGCAGGAGGGGAAAAAGCTACCGACGAGTATCAGTACCTCTACTCTGATCGCTTCTGACACCGGCAATCTATAAGAGCTGCAAGAAGCTACTGAATTACAACCGCTATACACTTGAAAGCAATCGATCATGGACCTAAATCAAGAATTCACTCCGGGAATGCTGTCATTCACCGATGAGACCGATTTTGACTACGCCGCATTTCTCCAAGCTGATGATATCATGTTTGGCGGCGAGGGTGCCCAGACCCAACAGCAAGTACCATCAGATTCCTCAGCTACCCCACCAAGCACAACATCAGGGTCTAGTAGTGAACTGGTTGCTCGAACGTCTACTCAGAAACAAAGGCTTGAGCGAAGAGGCCATACCAAGAGTCGAAGAGGTTGCTATAACTGCAAGAGAAGGCGTATCAAGGTATTTAGACCCGAAGGCCCAAGTTCGATGGACTTGCTAACACCAGGAAGTGCCAGGAGACTCGGCCTGCGTGTGGTCATTGCACCAAGACGGGCCTGAAGTGCGAGTATCCATCTATGCCTCAGATCACACACCAGGTGCGTAAGAGGCAAGGTTGAGCAATTGTATCAACTGACAGTCGTGTATGTAGCCGCATCACCAGATTCCTCTATTCAGTCTCCAGGATATGCGTTTCTTCCAGCACTTCCTTACGCAATGCTACCCCCATCATCCTTTGAAGCAAGAGGATGTCTGGACCCATGAGATCCCATGCATTGCTCACAACGTACAGATCCCCGTCAAGTAAAAGGAAACAAGGCACTTACTGATCGGTCTAGCATGAATACCTTATGCACGCAATTCTCGGTTTCTCGGCATCCGAACTTATGAGGAATGACGCCAGTATTGTTTCGTCAGCCATGAACCACCGTATCAAGGCAATAAGAGCAATCAAGAAGCGCCTGGCTGAGACTGCCAGAAGCTCAATGGACCATGAGGAAGCGAACGCCATGGTAGCTACCTGCTACGCACTTACATTCCAGTCCGTGAGCCTGGATGATGGATTGGCGGAGTATCTGACCTTCATCCGTGGTATCATGATTGTAGGAATGCAAATGTTGTTCCGAGGTATAAAACCGATATTTGAAAATATGCTGGAACCGGATCAGGATGCCTTGCTTGAACCCCTGATGCAGGGCCTGCCACTAATCCCAAAGGGCTATACAGACTCTGCAATGGAGGCTCTTACGAACCTCAAGCCATTGTGTACGCGGCCAGTCGAGGTTGAGTATCATCAGCATCTCGTCAAAATGGTCGAAAAGCTCTACATCAACTCGTGGGATGGTAAGTCTCTGATCATACAACACTGAACTGACACCCAGCTAACTAGGCCTAGCATATAAAGCATACACATCACAATACGGCTGGTGGATGTTGCTTCCACACGACACTTTCCAAGCTCTCATTGATCCCGATAACCAGGTCATGATGCTGCTTCACTCACACTGGGTCGCCATTAACGAGATCATGTCTCCTATCAGTGGGCAAGAACGAAATGTATCTGAAAAGTATCCTCCACAGAGAGATGATCAACCACAACTTGATCCTGGTTTTGCTCGATGGCTTAAACATATTAATGCTAATATCGACCTTGAGCACCAAATTTACAATCAGTGGCCGATGTGGGTGGAGGAGCAGTTGGATGATGATATTACTTTCTTTGGAAGGGCTTGATTAATGGATCACCCCCAATTATTTAGTTAGTATATTCATGCAGCTTGTTGCAAGATTTTGAGTTCGAAATCTTCTAGTAGAGAAAAAATATAAATTCTAAAGGTTTGACAGCTCAAGCGACGAGCGTGTTGTCTACCATCACAAGTTACGTTCCTCCTGAGGAAAACGTGAATGCCATTTTTGGATGATAGACCCCTTCAAGATCTTTGGCCACGGCTGTGAAAGAAACAAGATAAAAAGACTAAAAGAGGGACAGACAACTGAGGAGGAGAGCGTGAAAGAAGGGAACGAAGAGTCACTAACTCACTCTAAGTAACTAGGTTCTCTGTAATTGTCAATTTCCAAACTCTTTACAGTCAGGTTTTGCAAAACTTTCCCTTCAGATGAGGAAATTCATGATTAACTTAGGAAGCTCTCTATTCTAGGTGACTCAAGTAGTAGCTAAAGTCATCATAAACGTAGCAGGCCCTTGAAACATCAATTTTTTAGCCCCCCATCCGACTCAAGATCTCAAGTGTCGTTCCTGGTGCCTGCCTAGTCTCGGCACTGCCCCAGCAAAGCCCCCACTATTGAATCTCGCATTCATCGTATTCCACGCGATTGGGTCGACCGTGGGGGATGATCATCATACAAGCCAATCATGTTTGGGGACAACCCTCACAGGGCTGAAAGATGCCTTGGGCTGTTCCCGTCATCCGTCATTGAGCAACGAGTTGTGCCGTATTCTTCGGGTTTGGCAAATAGCCAATTGAAGATCTCAGGGTAAAGAGGCAGATCATATATTGTCGTGGGTATATATAGGCCCTATGTCCGCCTTTAAGATGGAAAGAAGTTTGAAAGCGAGCATCTGGTAAGACTTGCACCAACGACTTATCAGCACCACCAAGCCACATTCAAAGAATCGGGTATTCAAAATACTCTTTCCAAAGCTACTGTTATAGAAAAATGTCTACAAAAACTGAGACAATGTCAAGTTCATCCTTCAAACTTGGCCATCATCCCTCTACACACCTGGCACCACCTCCTGACTACTACACTACCCAAGCTGTGGAACTATCACGCCTCTCGCCAGCCATGTCTTCAACAACCTCCCTTCCAGAATATACGACGCAATACAACATTGAAAACGGAGACTCAGCATCATCCTCTTCGACATCGGGATTTTGTCCTACAAAACAGCTGCAGATCGAAGCTCCTGGGTTTGCACTTATTAGACTTCCTCTACCGCCTCAGCCAGATCCTATCTATGTCTTCAATGTCGCAGCAACGGGAGAACTCGATGATGCAGAGTATGTATCGATTCGGCCCACAAGAAACTCAGGCTCTTGTTTTCTTGCCAGGGCGAACGACCCTACACAAACAGCTCTTTGCACGACCACATACCGCTTTGGTCCAGGCAAGCCTCCCAAGATCCGTTTTGTTGGGGATGGATCACAGAACGGCCAGACAGAGGAGATCGAGGTCAGCTGCAAAGGTGTTCTAACCCGCAGCACCATCATGCGCACTCATCTCGGCACTTTCGAATGGCGATACAGTTCCCGTGCCGAACGTCGAAGTGCAAAATCCTCTGTTGGCGAGGAAGTCGATTGTCTATTAATTCTAGACCAAGTCATGAAAGTAGCCGTCACAGGAGGAAAGCAAGAAGAGAGAAGACGCAAGGTTGGGCAATTCGTGCGTAGCGATGGACTCCGTACTCAAGGTTCTAGGAGGAGCTCTGCTGGAAATGGTGGACGGCTTATGCTTGATTTGCGTGAGTGGCTGGATCGGAAAAACGAGGCATCTGAGATGGAAATTCTCGCCGTGGTGAGCTGTGTGTCTATGATGAAGAAAGAGGTGGATAGGCGAAGAATGCATCAGACTATGGCCATCATGGGAGGTGCTTCTGGTGGACCCTAGACTGTTGGTACAAGTGTGATACTCGCTCGGATGAGATTGATATTAGTGATAGACCGTATGCATTTAGTTATAGAAATTAACCTTTTGCTTTTCAAGAGACAGTTTCGTTAGTCGTGGCCGGATAAATGCTAACCACCACCAAATTAAATCCCATATCAGCCATCGGTGTACTTAATCTTGCACATCAGGAACCGCAGTCTTCTCTCTGGGTCCTAGCTCAAGCACCTCAGTCGATGGAATTTGCCCCTTCTCATTCAAGTTGGCATTCTCGAGATCCTTCTTACTGCACTTACACCTGTACCTCACCGAGCACCCCTGCTTCTCACCAATGAACGGGTCGTTGCGGCATGATTTGCCAAACAACTCCAGCAGCAACACCCACACAGAGAGAGCCAAAGTGATGGATATCAGGTTCAGCGAGTTCAGACTTTTAGCCAATGGCAATAGAAACAAGATGAGACAGACAAGAAGCCTATTGGCCATCCGTGTCTTCTTGGATAGGCGTCTAGTTGCTGGATGGCGATGATCATGGGTGACTGAAATGACTCCCATAAAGAACAAGGCTACAGCAAGGCCTTGGCAGTAGAAGTACCGGATACCGTCAGCCATCTCAGGGTCCGAACGCTCGATATAGTGTTCCGTAAGGTGCTCAGGGTTGGCGTCCGGAGTATCTGCGACCCAGACGAGCTTAGATAGCCCGGCAGATGCGAGAATGTAGCCCATGATGAACGGGAGATGAGCGTAGTGCCATACGGACGCTTTGTAGGTTAGTACGGGGTCACTATCGTAGCCTGTATAACTTACATGATATCACAGAGCGTCGGATAGCATGGATATTGATGTTGCTGCCATCG